TCCGACCATAGCTTTGCAGCGTCCTAGCTCAAGGGTCAGTGAACTGTGGCCTGCAGGGTAAGCTGAGCCTTTCACCCCTCCACAGCATGTATTAGCTTCTGCATCTTTTTAAGCGATTACAAAAACCAACCGAAAAAACAAACCAACCCAGAAGAACATGGAACAGACACACATGAGGCTAAAGTCGGTGCTAGTGCTCTCTGGCCCTTTGTTCCGCTCTGTCGTCTGCACAGGCGTCCCTGCTTCTTCTGCACTGTCAGGGCTTCAGGCCCTTCCGCTTTCTGCCACCAGCTGGGTCCTCTGCTCTCCACCACTCCAGGCGACAATGCAGGAAGGCTCTGCCCCTTTCTTTTCAGCCAAAGGTCGCGATGCTGGGGCCTGAGCCCTCTGTGAGAGCTCTCCGGCTCCTCCTGCCTGGAGTTAAATTGCAAACAATCATAGGAATGTTTAGCCCAGGCTTGCGGCTTCTTGTGCAACATTGTATCTCCGAAAATAAATCGTAGAGACCTTCTATATTGGATACCTTTTTAGCAGTGGGCCCTGAAACACATCCTCAGGGTCTCTTCCTTTGCTTATTTGTTTTTGAGACATCTCTCTCAAATACTATATGTATTTGATGTATCACCCCATACATCTTCTCTCAATTTAAAGGCTGTTCCCTTAAAGCTATCAGCTTTTTGTGGAGGGCCACATCATTAATTGGATCTATGCCCTGAGCCATATTGTCCAATTGAAAGAATTTACGGGTGTCACACCCTGGGTTTATCCTTCCCTCAGAGCACTTTAATCTTCTAAAGGTTTTATCTGGTGCTTTTTATCTGTAGATTTCTCCATCTTATTTTTTACTGCTGGAGTCTAGGATTAATAAAATTTTAACCATGTAAAGCCCTGGATTTCTGTGCTGTTTTCCTCTTCTATTTCACTCCTCACACAATCCAGACATTGTTTTCTTAAACTCTTTTCTTTTTCATGACACTTAACCACCACATCCTGTAACACTCAGCAACATCACTGCTGTTCAATTTCCAACTTCTTTAAAGGCACACGTGCATTGGTGTCTTAGTTACTTTTTTGTTGCTGGGGCAAAATACCCAACATCTACAAGTTAAAGGAGGAAAGGTTTATTTTAGCTCACAGTTTGTAGAGGTTTCAGTCCATTGTCAGCTGCCTCCAAAGCAGGAGCATGGCAGAGGGGAATAGTCCATGGCAGGGTGCGCAGGAAGCAGCTTGCAGTGAGCCTCTCTTCCCCTCTGACCCCACCGAGGCTACAAGCCTATTGGTTGCTGCCACCCACACCCAGGGTGGGGCTTCCATCATCCACAAGAAGAACTAGGCTAAAGCAATCTGTGGTCTAATTTAGTCATCGAACCCTTAATCCATAGTCACACACCCTAGATCCATCCACCTCAGAGACTCCCACCTATGAGTGCCTGAGGCTGTGGGAGGACATCTGGATACGAGCCATGACTTTTGGGGATCTAAGCTGCACCTGAAGTTACCCAGACAGAAGTTTTATTAAATGTTTCTTCATGGTGTACCAGATTCCTAGTTTTGCAGTGTCTTGTGGAAAATCCAAAGCCACCTGCTTCTTTATTCTTAGCATCGGTTGTATGCCAGAATACGCTCAGTACACAGTGGCCCCAAGCACGGTGGGTCACCATTCCTCTTCGACCTGATTGCAAGAAGAGCCTGCAGGTGTTGCTGTGAGGGCCAAGCTTGGCCAGGAGGAGGGACCGAAGCTGAGCGTGCGAGCAAGAGGTCAGGGGAGGACCTTGCCCGGCGCCTGTCAGGTAGAGGGAGGGCTGGGCTGGCCACCCAGCTCACGTACTGAAACGTGACCAGGGGTTAACCTTGCCGGGCCAGGGGACACAACGCACTTCAAGGTGACCGCAGGGCACATACTGAGGCCCGGGAATGACACCCAGTCGCTGGCTGGAGGCTGCGGTGTGGGTTCTACACAGCGTGGCACTAGTGGGCAGCCAGGACCCGCCTGGGAAAATCCTTGAGTTCCGTGCTAAGCAATGTAGGAAGCTCAGAAAAAAACGATTTTTCTAAAACAGAACTATGTGATAAACTCATTAGGAGCATTACAGAAAAAACAGTTGATGGTGTCTTAGCTACTTCCTGTGGCTGGGACAAGCACCCAGGACTATCACTTAAAGGAGGAGAGGTTTGTTGTGGCTCATGGTTCATCTGTGATCAGCTGCTGCAGGGCAGGAAGGCCTGGCGGAGGGAAGATGCCCGCCTCAGGGCAGAACAGGAAGTGGGGTGAGAAGGGCAGAGCAGTGACCACCTCTGATCTCTGACCAGGCGCCACCTGCTAACGGCCAGTCCACCACGGCGCCAGGAGGCAGTCACCTTGCTCACGCGGAGGCATTTAGGGGCATTTCAGATCCGCCGTGACAGGTGAAGAACAGTCTGTGTGTCTCATCAGGTACCGAATTCAAACTTCCCTTCTGTTTTTTGAGCACTTCCCATGGGCAAGGCACTATGCTGATCGTTTTACGTTTCATCTAAGTTCTTAAAATGATATTATGCGGTAGGCAGCATTTTTCACATTTTTGCTGAAGAAGAAACTAAGGTTTAAAGCACTTCATCGAGTTGCGTACAGTCACCCAGGCAATAAATATGAGACCCGGGTTTCAGTGGCAAGTCACACCTCACCTCCTGCCTGGGGAATTCGCTGCCTCAGCCGCCTTTTTGCCATTTTGTTGGCTGAACTCTTCCACCAAAATTTCTTTTTCTACTGGAAACAACTCTTGAGTGCGAAAGATTTGCCCCATTGCATTAATTCTTACCCAGCCCTGGTCTTGCTCATCACTGGGCGTCCAGCCAGCACAGGCTCAGCAGAGAGCTCAGCCACAGACTTCGGGTGCAGGGATGGCAGGAGGGGCCAAATGCCAGGGCGACCCTCCTCTACCACCCTTCCTGGAGTCCAGGATTTCCAGGCACAGGATGTTTGAACTAAACACACTTGTGATATCTTGTGTTTCTAAAGCACAGGAGTAGGGTGTGGTGGCGCACAGCTATAGTCCCAGAACTCGGGAGGCTGGGGCAGGAGGATTGCTATGAGTTGGAGGCCAGCCTGGGCTACATAGTGAGACCTTATCTTAAAAATAAATAAATCAAACAAACCTAAAGCCCAATAAGGAGCCCACAGTCATAATCCTGTCAGGGGAGGCTTCTGTGTATGCTATGGCCAGGGGTGCTTCAAGCTCAGAGATGGGTTAAGAGGCTCAGGTTGTAGAACATCATTTTTCTTTCTGTGGTACCGGGGATGGAACTCAGGACCTTGAGCTTGCAAAGCAGGCGGTGGCACCACTGAGCTAAATCCTCGGCCCTCTAGAATGTCTTTTGAAGCCATATCTGCAGACAGGAATTCAGCTATAACTCTGTGGAGATACCTCCCGTCAGTATGTGTGTAGCCTCATGCATGTCAACTGTCAAGACTGGAAACCAATAATTCTGGGTAGAGAGACTCGGAGGTAGCCGACCAGAACTGGAGGTTTCCTATGACGTCTCTGATGTCTTGTATTTAAAGCCTATTCGTACTTCTCAGAGTTATAGGATGACTGCTTTTAAGAAATAATAGGGGAAATTAACATTTTTGTCATAGGACTTTTATATTTTTAGAATTTTTAAATTTTATTTTTTGAGACAAGATTTGTCTTTGTAGTTCAGATGAACCTTCAACTCATTATGTGGCCCAAATTGGCCTCGAACTTATGGCAGTCCTCCTGCCTCAGCTTCCTGAGTGCTAGGATCACAGGCATGTGCCACGATGCCTAGCTCCAGTTTTATTTTTCAGAAAGTCCTTTTGAGGACATAGTGACAGTGTGCTTCCTAGTTAACAGGAAGCCAAAATGGAAACTCCAGAGCAGCACAAATGACTGGGGCCATAGAGGATACCCAGATAGCTCCTCCATCCAAACAGGCATGTCCAGACGTGGCTTTGTATTTTAGGGGGTAAATGAGCTTTATATTTTCAGTATTATTGCAAAAATAGAAGCCCTGCGTAGCTGACACAGTGCCTGTGAAGTGACACAGATCCCAGTGAAGTGATGAGTGAATACAACATTGTTACAGAAACCTTGCAAGTGGAAAAGAAAAAAATAGCTTATACCCCACCACCTTAATATTCACTGATTTAAAATTTTATATACATTGGCTACATACATACATAGCTACATACATACATGTAGTATACCTGTGTATGCATAAAAACACTTGATCTTGCCACAAGGCTGAGAATCAATGTATGTATATAAAAACTACATAAAATACGTATATCTTATATACCATTTAAATTTTCTTTTTTGGTACTGGGGACCGAACTCAGGACCTTGCACTTGCCAGGCAGGTACGGTTCCACTGAGCTAAGTCCCTGGCCCTACATTATTTAAATTTTAATATTAGTATGATAGAGACAGTTTTATATCCTGATGGCTAAAATTTTGTGATACACATTTCCCAAAGATGCTATGTTGTTTTCAGAATTCTGATTTTCATGACAGCATAATATACTTTCCAAAAATTCGGCATAGGCTAATACTATTTCTCTTGTCAGTTTGATTACTTCTGAAGTTTTTAATCGTTTTATTCTATTAAAATCTTTGTGCATATGTTTCTTTTGAATTGTTTCATTAAATGATCAGGATTAGAAATCATGAGCATAGGGACAATGCCCTACTTTCACCCTGTAACTGGCAGTCAGGGTGAGGAGTAGATTTAGGATCCCAGCATTACCTGCCTTGAGTGTGATCATTTTTAAAAGTCCATGTCTCTGATTTAATAGTGCGAATGGTACCTCACTGTTTTTCTTTTCTTCACCGAACAAAACTAGCGAAAGTGCTCTTCAGGGGCACAAACTCTTGGTTGGCTCCGCTGCCTGCGTTGAAATTCCTCTCTCCTTCTCGCCATCTCGCTGGTACCTGTCGAGTGTGCGTGTGTCCTAGGCGAGGCCGGTCTGTCAGCTGTGCTAACACCTCTCGCTCTCTCAGCTGTCTGTGGAGGTGCGAGAAGAGATGACCAGGAAGGCCACTGCCACGGTCACGCATTTGATGGAGAAGTCACGGAAAAGGAATTCAGAAGATGACATTCAGGAAGCCAGCACTTCCGCAGTTACCTATGCTGATGCTTTGGGTCACCTGCAGAAGTCGCTCGCCCACCTGGGGACACTGGGCCACAGCTTCGTCCTCTCCCTGAAGAACAGCGAGCAGGTAAGGGAGTGATGACGCCTCAGATGCCTCAGTAGACATAGTGCCCAACAGCACCGCCCTGCTGGCTGTGTCTCTCTTTGACCTTCTTTTCCCTTTTTAGGCAGTGCTGGGGATCAAACCCAGGGCCTTGCACATGGGCCGCAAGCACTCTGCCATGGAGCCACACCTGGCTCAACACCAGGCCTTCGGGGATGCTTAAGACACCCAGGTGTAGCAACAGCTTTGATGGGGTTCTCAGACCTGCAGATAGTCATGAAAACCACCCTCAAGCCTCTGCCCTTTAACTTCTCCTTTTTCACTTGTCAGCTCATTTCATTCTTTCCAAAGGAAATTGGGGTGCTTAGGGCAGATGATACCTAGGAAACAAAGTGAGGAGATGTGCCAGATGCAATCACAGCACTTGGGAGGCTGAGGCAGGAGGATCACCCTGAGTTCAAGTCCAGTCTGGACTACATAAAACAAAGCAAAAAAACCCAATAATAATAAAGTTAAGGAACCTGGAAGACAGTGGCTTTCAAGCTGTCCTAGCATTGATGTTTTGTTTTCCAACTGGGTGATGGGGCTTTTCCTCCCTAATTGTTGCAAATTCAGAAAGAGCCTCCCATGCCCACTTGGGAGTTTCCTGAAAGCGGCACGCTCCTCATTCCATTTCAGGCTTCCCCATTTCCTCTGAAACCTCATTGTCCTTGGGGCTTTTCTGGCCGGCGAAACTGTCCTGCTTGATTTCCAGCTGAAGCTCCAGAGCCCCGCAGACGCTGTGGTGTTAGGGTCGTGCAGGGAGTCAGGGATTTTGTTGTGTGTCTTAATGGCCACAGCAGTTTAGGTGTTCTTCTCAGTAACAAGAAAGTTGACAAGTAAGTCCTTCTCATGTAAACGGAAACAGTGCTTAGCTGCATGAAAAATCTTCCGTTTGTCCTTTCATGCTATGGCAAAGAACCTGTAAGTGGCCACCAACCTCCTCTTTCATTTTTCTTAAGTTGTCCACACTTACAGAATTTTCTTCTTGGCTTGTGGAGCAATATTTCTAACTAGAAAGTTCAGCAGTGGAGAGGAATTCAGATAACGAGCAAATGGAAAATTTCAAAATTTGTATGAGATGCTTAATTCAAACCTTTCATTAGAAAGATAATGGGAAGAGCTTGAGAATTTGATAGCAGTTTTATTTCATTTGTATTTTTCAGTGCCTATTCGCCTGTCTAATGAATGCCATTAAATACTGGCCTGAGCAAGAATAGAAGCCTTTCTGTGGAGCAAATTGGCTTTACCCATCTTGATTTATCCTGGTGACATTCCAAACCATAGCCCCTAACTATGAGAACTAGGGTGAAACCCGAATCTGGACTGAAAGCAGCTTATACTTAGTGCGAAGATTTCCAAAGGCTTGTTTACTGTTTAAATTGCATATACCCTATTCCAATCAGGATTAGTATTATTCTCCTTGGAACACACTGTCCTGCCCTGGCTGGCACAGTGTGTTTGGATCCAAAGGGCCGTCAGCCCCAGTGACTGCTCAGTGCCACACCGGGGTGCGAAGGGGCCACGCTGCTCCCTGCCAGTGCCGCTGCCGGGAGACTCTGGTGCTCCCAAGCCGGACAGCACTGCACTGAGGCACTGTCTGTAACAGACGCTGGGAATCAGCCTCAGGCAGCCTTTGCTTCTGAACCCCTAATTATACGACCGCCCAGGAACACTTGAATCCCTGTGAAGTTGGCGCAGTTTGAGTGGAAGGCCTTCGCCCTGCCCTCCTGCTCTCGTAGGTCCAGGTCCTGGCCATTGCTGTGTCTCACTTAGAGGGATTTCTAAAGTAGAAATTGTGCGCAGTGGGCAGGGGCCACCATCGGAAAAAACAACGAATCAAACAGTGGGGAAAATAGTAACATAGACTTCATGTGCCCAGCTCCCAGCCTCAGCAGTCACCTGAACATAACCAGTCTTGCTTCCCGTGTATCCCACAGACCCTCAGCTCGCTCTGGGGATTATTCTACAAGTTTCTTTTTTTTTTTTGGCACCAGGAATATATTTTTTTTTTTGGTACCGGGGATCGAACTCGGGACCTTGCTCTTGCGAGGCAGGCGGCAGAACCACTGAGCTAAATCCCCAGCTCCGGGGATTATTCTAGCGAATCTGTCACCACTCATCTTACCCATCAGTACTTCTGCATCTAGCTCCTCAAGATGCATTAAGACATAAGCACTACAATGCATCGCAATCAAAAGTGAATGGTAGTTCTTTAATAGCATCAAAAATCAAGCTAATGTTCAGATTTTCTTTTTACAAAGTTGTTTTGAAAAACAAAACAGTCTATTCAAGATTACAAGGGAAATGATGAGGAATCTGGAAAGTGCTATTGTCATTTGGAGACCATATTTGGTTTGCTGCAAAAACAATAGCTGTGTCCTCCTCCTTAAACTGTTATAACATTATTTCTTCCAGGCAGGTGGAGCTGACTTCTAGATTCTGGTGTCAGCCCCACTGATGTCATGTGACATTAGGCATGTGATTTGGTAACTTCGGTCATCAGTTTCCAGCTAGCTAAACCATTTGTAGGGATATTGTAAGTATTAATTAGATACCACATGTACACTCACCCAGTAGTTACACTGTACTGCATATATGTGTAGTCTCTAGGCTTAAAAAGTTTATATTCAGTAATTTATAACTGCCGTATTTGCCCCAAAATAAGATAATCTATATTATTTTTTGCTCCCAGACATGCAATAGGGCTTATTTTCAGGGAATGTCTTATTTTTTTCATGTACAACAGTCTGCATTTATTCATGTACAATGATCTACCTTTATTCAAATACATTCATGTCATCTTCTTCTGGAGCATCATCTGGCCTGAAGCTTTTGCAGTTCTATTTCCTGTGGAACCTTTGGCCCCAGTCCCTCACGTCCAGCAGTAGAGCTGTCCTGAAACGAGCACTTCTGTCCAGTAGCCTGCTCGCAGGGCGTGGTTACAGCACACGACATACGGAGTTATGAAGATTCGCATCGGACACAGACACGTCCGTTTGTTACCAAGTGCACCTTACTCGTGCGTTGTGTCTGTGCTCCCATTGGTCACTCGGCAGTAAGTCTCAAGTTCATCTGTTTACAGAGTCGTCCAGAATGCCACTGGGTATTTACAAATACACAATTGTAATTTATCATTTTAAGTATTAATGTCAGTAATATTTATTTATATTCAATTATATATTGATAGTATAATTCACTGCGTTGTGTGTTGCAGCAGGTGTCCTGAATGCATCCATCTGGCTGGCGATCTTAACTGGTATTTTTAGGGTAGGACTCATATCACGAGCATCTGAAAAATCATACCAGGACTTGTTTTCTGGCTGGGTCTTCCTTTGGGGCGAATACATGCTATGGTGTGGCTGTGGTCCAGGAGTAGCTGCAGTGGACTCCTCCTCGAGTGCTCGTCACCTGGCACCGGGCCAGGGGACTCTTGAATGTTCAGTGGTGCTGCCTGCTCACCAGCCCCTCCTATCCTCAGCTATATTTCCCAGACGCGTAGATCCCAGGTCACAGAGACCGCCTCTGCTAATGATGCAGCCAGGGAGTCGAAATGATCTTTTAGAGAAAGGACAGTTGGTTAAATAAAAAAGAAGTTTATTGCCAGGCACTGGACAGCCTCAGGAAGCGAGTCCTTCTAGGATGACCACCAGTTAAGACAGTTTCCCTTTTTATCTCTCTTACAGGGCAGCTTAAGTTGCGGTTACATAGCAGAATGTGGCAGAGATGTGATAAAGCAGCAGTAGGTGGCAAGGGTAGCTTAGATAAGCACACTTCAAGGCTGGTTTCTAATCTCTCCGGGAACAGGCGGCCCCACAAGACGGGGAAGGCCCACCCAGAGTTTTCAAACAGGGTTTTTGGGGTAGCACACACAAAGTACATAAGCAGTGCATTACTAAAGCTGACACAGAGTTCATGAACAAATATTCCACAATAATTATCCATTTCAAGTTATGTTTGGCAGCTCTTTCCACCTCACTAATACACAGGAAAGTGAGGATTTGCACCCAGGCTTGGGGGTCAGAGCCTGTACCTTGGTAACCCAGCCCTGACCCTGGGCATGCCGTAGGTGGCTGGCATGTGTTTGCTTGGTGACCTAACCGTGTGCACACTGACACTGTTGTTCTGCCTGCGAGTCTGGGTCTTGGCTCCCTTGTCTTTCAGGAAGCACTGCGGAGATACAGTGACCTGTATGATCGGTCCCGATCGGAAAAGGAACCGCTTCACCACCTTGCCGTGACCATGTGTTTGGAGGGCCAGCCGCTGGGGACCATTCGGCAGCTGCTTGAGGTGGCAGTCGGCCCCCAGGACTTGTCCCCCAAGGATGTCATGCGAAGTGCAATTGTGAGAATAATTTCTGTGTTGAGGTAAGCACTCGGGTAACCACTGGGGAAAACCCTAGGGTAATTCTGGCCCATATTAGTCTCCATCTCATGGTTGTTGTGAAGCTAGTCTGAGGTCATAGATGGAGAAGCATTTGACATTTTCAAGTACTTGACAGGAATGCAAGGTAATTTTTAGGATTCTTAAAGACTATGTATTTAAATACCTAGAAGGTGGAGCGCCTAGAGAATGCCCCACCCTCAGTATTATAGGCTACACTGAAGAAGTAGACTCACTTCCGGTTGGACCTCTCTCCCTCCTCCGAGAGGCCCCAGTAGGGAATGGATGCTGGCACAGTGTGGGAAATGGGTGCCAGGAGCTAGGTGCATGTCCTCTCTTGCCTTTTCCAGCTCCCTTCCTGGCAGCAGGGGGAAACGGTGCCCAAGGTCCTTCTGGAGCACCCTGGCAAGGTTCCTGGCACTGGGAGGCGGGCAGCGAGCTGTTCCATGTCTCAGGCATGCTTGCCCTGCAGAGGGCCACAGGCCCTTGATGCCGAGATCCTCTGGGCCCCAAGTGGTGACTGCAGGGAGCATCTCGGGCATCAGGACAGGGAGGACCTGAGGCTGGGCAGGCAAGCAGGCCTCTAGCACCTTCTGTGAATGCGGCTGGGCTCAACGATGCCACTGTGTTTAATTCACTGTCCTCTAAGAGTCTGTCGTTCTGTGACACTCTGGAGGAACTTTGTGGTTAAGTGCATGTCAGTTTCCTGTGGACTGAAATCAAATGGGCCTTTCTCAGCTTAGTTACCCTCACTTCATAGTTTTCACCTTAATGCTCTGAGGGCGCTGGTAATTTATAGAGAGGGACAGACATAAAATACAACAGGGTTTTTAAAGTGGGAAGGCATTTATTGATAGGAAAGCTCTCAAGGGGCAGGAGGGTCCCGGGTGGGCAGCCGGGGTCCCCACGTACAGAGGAGCTTTATGAGGTGAGACCCACGTGGGTGCAGCGTGGGCCCCAGCCCTGAACGTCCGATAAGGTCACAGGTGCAGTCGTTCAGAGAATGGGGTCCAGTTGGGAAGCGAGCCACGCAGCAAGCGTACAAGGAGCGGTAAGGGTGGGGCAGGGGTATTTCCTGGGGAGGCTGGGTTAAGACCCTGACCCCTCCCAGGTGATTGACACCTATTTAGTGGTACTGGGCTTCAAACTCAGGACCTGCCCGTGTGAGACAGAGGTGGTGCCGTAGGGCTGAATCTCTGGCCTGACTGACACCTATTTAGAATATGGATCACTGCTATTTATCCCCAGGGCAAGCACAAGGAAGGGTGTGTGGTTTCTCTCCTTTTACAATTCCAGCCTTCAGTGAATGTGCTTTGGGCCACAATTGTCCTCCTTGCTGAAGGCCCAGCCCTGTGTAAACCGGCCGTGATACCTATAACCAACTTCGCTGTCTACCGTACCTGAGAGCCCCCCCGTAACCCTCCAGCCAATCCCCTTGGCTTGGGTCGGTCTGGCCCTCTCTGTGCGCACAGCCAGGAAGTCTAACTGATGTGGTGCTGTGGTGTGTTTCCCCTTTGTCCTGGCCTTCTGGAGGACTTAGCCCTGTCTCACTGCCTGTAATATTTCTACCTAGCTCATCTATCTATCCTGTTCCCCACTCTGAAGAAGTATCCTGATCTGCCATAAGGGGGTAAAGGGTGATGACCACTCGAGCTACTTCAGGCTGAAGGGGGTCGTGGTTGTGGCTGGCAGTCAGGGAGACCCTTCAGAAGGTCTGTCTAAAGGTCCTCGATAGGCATCACATGTTTCTGTCATGGGTAGGCGTGTAGCTTTGAGTCTGGAGGAGACAAGGCCAGAAAGACAGTTAAGTATACAGGGGCCAAACAGTAAGATCAACAGAAATATTATGAGTATAGCCAACAGATATTTCCACCAGGAAGAGCTGGTAATAGCCTTCCACAGGAAGGACAAGGAGAAGTCCCAGGGAACTTCAGAATCCATCATAGAAGTCATTTAGCAGTTATGAGTTGTTTACAAGGTCGATCTGGTGGGTCCCAGTAAAAGAATTCTTGCACTTTTGTCTTTGGCTCCATTTGTATGACTGGTGTATGGCAGCCTCTACGCAAGAATAAACAAAACTTTTAAGAAATTAGAGCATGTATAATCTAAGCATGAGCACACTAGAATGGAAGGGCAGGTTGGGAAAAAAAATCATACTTAGAAATTGAAATAGTGATTGTAACCTGCTGGCTCTTATAGATTCTACCATAGTTCTTTCCTAATGATCCATAACTGTGGTCACCAACTGGTGTAGCTAGAAACTGCCAGAAGGGTCAATGACTGGAGCCCTTTTTTATATCCACCTTTATTATTATGGCATTATTTTATACCTCTTTTGGTTATTCTTTTCTGCTAGGTATTTAAGACCAGGTTAAAGTGAGACCTGTGTCAATCAGTATGAACCTCTTACTGTCTATCAAGGTCAGTTAAGTCTCCTCAGGCGTTACTTGGGAACCATGCATAGAGCTTCTCAGCTGCTCTGTCAGTGTTGGCCGTCAGGATGGGTCTCAGCCTTGCTTGACCATGTTGCTTTCAATGAAAGCATGGGAGACTTTTCCCTCTTTGTGACCCTCCTTTGGCACACGGTACATTTGTCCTCTGGAGTCCAGCAATCTCCCTGCTCAGGAGGTTGAGTGATTTAACAAAGATATATGATCCTGTAGAAAAGGTTCCTTTGTGTCCTGGATCTTTGTTGACCTTGAGGGGCCAGGGCCAATATATTGGCTGTCCTCATAGCCCAGTTATCTTTAGTTTTGGTCTCCAAACTTTAGTTGTTGAACACCCAGAAGAGAAGATCAGTGATATAAATATTTCAGTGGGAGCAGTGAGCTTAACTTTTGGTGGGGGGGGGTACTGGGGATCGAACTCTTTTTTGGGGAGGGGGGTCCCAGGTCCTTGCACTTGTGCAGCAGGCGGTGAAACCACTGATCTAAATCCCCGGCCCTAAACTTAACTATTATAATAGTTAAAACAGCAAGCACTTTTGAAGTATAAAGCACAGTTAGAGGGCTGTTACTTCTTACCAGCCATGGTTGTTTTAGTAGTTGAATCCCTGCAGAACGTTAACAGACAACAGTTATATATTATAGAGAAACTTAAGATCAAGAGCTAAACATAGTATTTTAGCATGACAATCATGATGACCTTTTCTTTGTAACACTTACATGTCCATCTTAGTATGGAATAGTCTTTTAGTCAAACACCTCCATCTGATCACAAGACATTAAATGACATAAAGAAAACTCTTATTTGTTATCCTTTAGTAGGATGCCATCTAAAGAGAACATACATATTGGCCTATAAATGTACCTTAGGAGTTCATAATGTCTAGCCTCTAATTTTTTTTTTTTTTTTTTTTTTTTTTGGTACCTGGGATCGAACTTGGGTCCTTGCGCTTGTGAGGCAAGCACCGGAACCACTGAGCTAAATCCCAGCCCCTAACCTCTAATTTTAGTGTGTGACATTGTTTCAACTGTTTAGCGACTGAACATCCCTAAGTGTGGGGACACATAATATACATCACATAAGTTTTTAAGAAGACTGTTATTTGACTGGTTTTCTCATTTTGGCTAGACATGTACCTCTCATCAGAAGTAGCTGGAGAGCTAGGGAAAGGCAGATTCCTGAGTCAACAGAGATCATTACCATAAACAGCATCTTAGAAGACCTGTACACCCGGAAGGTGTGGGTGTATGTACCATGAAATAACAATGAGTATCAGCTACATGAAAGCCTTTGTCCCTTAATTTTGTTTTGTACCAAGAACACTTTAAATAAAACCTTGTTTTCCCACAGAAAACTTAGACCATGACCAATGTATACCTATCACAATAATAATATGTTTAGCAATGTATGCCCCACAAGGCTGTGGAAATTATTGGGGTCCCCTTTGTGAACAAAGGCTCGAATAAATTTTTTCCAGGCAGTTGCTCCATTATTTACCAAGGGGAGTCCTACCCAGTAGTTTTCTTAAGCCCAAGAGTCTTTATTTAATTATCTTTACAAATTTTTAGATGACCTGAGAGCCAGATCATAACAATTAACAAATTATTTTGACCAATGAAAGAGTCCCAAGTTATACATAGACAACAATATGTACTGTATTTGTAAAACCAGTTGACATTATTTGGATAATCTGGCAACCTGGGAGAAGTATGTCTTTAATTATATTTATCTATAAGCCAACTTGAGTTACAGGCAAACTTAAAAAATCTAGAATACCAAAAGAAAAAAACTCAAACATAACAGTTGGATGCCTTTTAACAAATTGAACAGACAGACAGACACACACATAAGACACCTTGTTTATAAACCAGAGGGCACTCAGATGTATTTGGCCAAGTTGAATTATAGTAACTTTGATATTTTTAGGTTTATAACTATAAACAAGACTAGTCAGAACTTTGTAGATTAACGGAGATCTCTTGCAGTAAGAATTAAAAGCAATAAAAATCTTCTACACCTGTGAAAGCAGAGATGGTTTTAAGACAAGCCTTATGCTGGCAGCATATCTCACTGGGATATCCAGCCTCACAGGGTTCTCGTTGTTGTTGTTATAGCCACAGTTGCTCGATAGCCACGTGTAATTCTTTCCTCTAAAGGGACAAACTGTTAAATATCTCCAGGGGGGTCCGCGTAGGCCAGGTTTGGGTAAGAAGAGACTAGGTGACCCTCTTTGGAGCTAAGTATGAATTTTAAACAGTGAGGGAAGAAGGCCTGCCAAGGCTCCAACCTACAGATGTCTACCTAGGACAGTTGTCAGGTAAGAGGCCGAAAACCAAGACCAGACCAGGCCACAACAAGCCTTTATTAGGGGAACAGACCTGCCGTGCTGTCTCCGAACAAAGGAGAAACAAAAGCACCGTGGCCGGGGCAGCGAGTGCCTTGTATAGGAGCAGGGGCGGGGCTCATAGGAGCTGAGGCGGGGTTGAGTGAGGTGTGGCTAGGGACTGGAGGAGCCGGTGACGTCACTAGTTGCCGGGAG